AGCTGCAAGGTCTCCAGGAGACTGGCGCTTGGCAAAGGGAAGAGTGCCATCGTCAAAGGCAGCAGTCGTGGTAGTGACAATAGGGACCTCAGTGGGAGTACCAGAGACAGAAGTCGAGAAAGTAAGGATATCTGTCATGGGAGCCGTAGGCAGCTGGCCGAGAAGAGAGCTAAGAGCGTCGAAAAAGGCATCAAGATCAGCTCCGTCGAACTGACGTTTCTCAAGAGCAGCATTGTTTGAGCCTCCCTGAGGAGCCGCGAAGGCAACGGAGAGAAGTGCAAGAGCAATGACAGACTTCATTTTGAATGAGGTATTGAAAGAAGTGAGAATGGAATAAAGAGTATGAGTGTTGATAGAGTGGTTTTTGTTAATGTGTGAATGGTTTTGAGTGTTGTAGTGCTGAGATAGATGGAAGTTCTACGAGATATTATATATTGAATTCTTAGGACTACTTTCACCTAAGTCTTCACTTCCAAGGAACCACTACACTACGTAGTTTCCTTGGTATTTTGGTAGCCGTAGCCACGAAAAAGAATGTCTGATTGCTATAGAATATAATCATCGAATTTAATCGAGATCGAGAGTACTCAGATCGGATCTGGTTTTTGCATCATCTCGTATGGGCCATAATATACCAACTTAACCACAATTTGACTTGGCAATTGCATAAGCACAACTCTTGTACTGGTTGTGGAGCGCGGGACCAACATTAGCATATCTCAGGTGGCATGGTTGCATCACAACTAGCCTCTCTCAGGAACGTCTCATTTTGAACGCAAGAGAAGTAAGATACAGTAGGACCGATTAGAGAGACAATCTGTACAGACGCACTGAGATCTCAGAATCATAGCACGATAATCTAGGCATGAACGGTGTTATTGAGGCTGGTAATTCATGACATCGGCGATCTGATCATGAAGTACATTCTGGAAGACATGGATAGAACGCAAATGATCCAGTAGTGATAAAAAGAAATTACTTGAATATAGTGGCGCATGAAGAATTCATGACTTGTAATATACCTTCATGACAACGTTTTGCGTCTACCGTGGTTTATTTGTTTTGAACTTCTAGTTGCTAGATTCTGTTTGCACATATATTTTCAGAATTTAGATGTAAATAAGACTCCCTCGCAGTCACATGAATACGGCTCGGAGAATAAGGGGCTGTCTAGACAAAGAACGGCTGATTGATAGGGATGTTTTACAAGTTGCACACACACGTGACTGTTACCCTGGCATGTTTACCAGCAATGTAAAGATGATATTATTGGCAATATTATCATGGGGGAAAGTTGAAATATATGTAGATTGGAACGCTGTGCCTGATAACAATGTCAATAAACAATGGCCCCTTTTATTCTTCGTCATTCTCCTTTCACTCACCCAATGCTGCTTCATCCCTCAACATCAGATTCATATCAATAAAAGCTCTATTGTGCCCATCATGGTCCATTTCCAGTTTTCAGCTAATTCATACTACATCCCGATCTTTGATTACCTTAGAAAGGACCATGCGGTTTATTATCATCACGGCTATCATCGCCGGCTGTGCTGCAGCAGGTTCACTTTCAAAACAACAAAAACCCATCAGAAGGACTTCGACTTTCCAGATAGTGTACAACGGGACAGAAAAGCTAAAGGCCGCCAACAATACCCTGTACATAGGGTCGCCCAAACAAGACGCTTGCTGTAATCAGTTCAATGCCGAGGATGCGGCCACCTTCTACCTAAAAGACGAAGAGCTCTTCCTCTATTCACCTGGAAATCCCAAGCAACAGGTGTTTGTGAACAGTACAAAGGCCGCTACAGGATGTGAGAAGACTTTCATGGGATGTTGCACTTTGCTTACAATACTTCCTCTAGGTCAAAATTCCGTTGGTTACTCCATTGGTTCAAGGAAAAAGCTGGAGAAAGCACAGAGAGAAGGCTGGCGAATAGATGATGATGACAATATTACCTTTAACGGCCTCAGCCTGATGGCGTGCAGCAGCTCTGGTGTTGGACGGGACATTATTGTACGGAAAAGTGATTGCCGGCTTAAGGGTTGCAGGGCGTGTCGGAGAGTCACAGCAAAAGCTACATACACAAGTAAACCCACGAGCTGCTTATATAGTGGAGGGGGACAGGTTGTTTCGCACTTTTGCTTGTAGCGGTAGAGCTAGCCGGGGTGCTTCTGAGATATACGCTGTATGATAACGGATCTTACTCGTGAACGTGACCGCGACCTGAGATACTTAGATCTCATATATGTGATAAGCTCTAGACTTGAAGATATAGGATTCATGAATAATAATAACTGCTTCAGTGAGCAATTCTTCTTAGATAAAACTCAGACCAGCAAATGTAGCAACAACTCCAGTAATGTCAACCAGCGTTGCGACTACAAGATAGCGACTAATGGCTCTAGCAAGGCGTGTAACGTGTATTACTCAAGCAGACTCCTTTTTCCTTCTTGACCAAAAAGGGAACTGAAATAAATGGGTCGATTGTCAGAGGTTGACTGCCGGAGTTGTGGGAGCCGAAACAAAATTCAGGGAGAGGGCGCGGAGATTTAAATGTGATTAAAGCACGGCCCCATGATGCATCGCAAACAGAAACCACTATTGACTTGTGCCGCGATTACCCCTTATTTGTCTCGGATATTATCGTAAGTGCATCCGCATAGTGGCTCCAAAGGGGGGCTATCAGTTTGTGCCGCGTTTAGCGCTTTTTTACTTAGGAAACGGGTGCAAGTCAACCGACCAAAATCATCCCTTGACATGGCCTTATACGGCAAATGAGATTATCTTGTGAGAACAGCAGAGCGAAAATCATTATAAAGACCTCTATGCAGGTGCTCTGGAATGAAGAACAATCCAGCACTCATTCTATCTACACTCCTTTAGCCACATTCATTTAGGCCTTCCAGTCAATCTTCCCACCACAAGACTCCTGATATCTCACAACATGAAGTTCTCTACACCGGCCCTTCTTCTTGCTTCCATTCCAATTGCCATCGCTACTCCTGGTAATTACGGATATGGATATGCATGTGATTGCGAAAAGGTTGCTACCGTGACCGCCACCTCTACATGCACGGTCACAACGTCGATTCACGACTTCCCAGCCACCAAGACCGTCAAGGTCACTGTCCCCGTGTACAAAGCACCGGTCACTGAGACTCTGAAGGTCACTATGCCCGTGTACAAGGCCCCAATTACAAAGACTGTCACCAAGGTTGTTACCTCAGTCGCCGACCCGCCAGCCGCCAAGACCGTCAGGGTCACGGTGCCCGTGTACAAAGCGCCGGTTACTAAGACCGTCACGATCACTGAGCCCGCTTACAAGGACCCGGTCACCAACATTGTCACCAAAGTCGTCACCACTTACGGCTGGAAACCTACTGTGACCAAGTACCATAACGAGCCGGCATACACCATGTACAAGACCAAGACTGTTACCAAGCCCTGCACCGATAATGAAAAGCCTCAGTACAACATTGGAGTCTATGACAACTCTGGAAGCGGGGACTACTATGTTTGATACGAGAGGTTGCGAGCGCTTTTTCTTTGTAATTTTGTTGTAATGTTTAATTTCTTGAAATGGGGATGCGCATATTGGGTGGTTTAGGTTCAGTTATGTCAAAAGTATATTCAGATTGACACGTTATGGCTTGTTAGGGTGCAGGGACTTGTTTAATCATAGTTTTACTCATTGTTGCTAATCATAATTCTCACTCAACGGCAAATGCCTGTTATATGTAACCCATTTTCCGTAAGTAAATCAATCAGACGGGAATACCATTGATCAAACCCTTCGTTATTGCATTGTGAAATAGTCATGTGACAAACTCGCGGTCACAAGCGGAAAAGTCTATCTACAAGGGGCTTTACACGTGGCCAGCAGTGATACACATCATACAAACAAGAGAGAAGCTACTTAGCCCTATCAACATCTACAAACAGTCATTATAGGAGATGGCCATTTGTGAAGAGAGGATGTAGTGACTTGCAGATGCCATGATCTAGGTTTGCTGAGAACTGAGAAACTGCTGGGCTGAGTGAGTGAAGACAGAAAGCTACTATCATACTGAGTTTAGGAAGTTAAACTCTCTTGGAATATATTCTGTTCAAGTTTCAAGTAGCATAACTATGACTCAACCAAGACTGGGTCCATCGTTTAAGGTTTATGTTTGGAGATAGAGTTAGAAAGCCTATAGCCTAAAATCTGAAGGCTACAGGCGTTCTGTCTTATAAGGTTGATAGATAGATACGCTTTAAACTTTACACCTAATCGACTGATTAACTCTTTTACAAATCGACGAGTCACTGGTCTTGTTGGGTTTGATATTCACGCCATGCGTATCCGGAGGGTTTCCACGATTATACAAACAGTTCTCATGGCTATGAAAGAGTTTGCAGAACTCGCCACCTCGTCAGCTTGACATTTAATAAATAAAGACACTATCTGCAGCCAGCTCCCAACCCAGTTCTTGTCCGTAACTAATCCAAACAAAACAGCAGCAAAAAGAGCACCATTGTCATTCAAACGAGTCACAATAGCCACAAACGAGAAAAGGCATCGACACTACGACAAACACAAGAGAAAAGAATTCCAACACGCATTTCGAGCTTATTGTCAGTGATTCAGCTTTGGTGCTGTTACAGATTGTCCCGTAGCTGGCAGTGATTCACTGCCCATCAGCTGATAAAAAGGCTTGATACGCCGCCTCTCCGACCTTCGACTCTTCTTTCCAATCTGAGTTCTGAATCTCTACGCCCTTAATCTAACTTCTGGGTTCTGTGTGGTGATCATAAGTTCTCAGCCTACCGACCTCTCATCGCGAAGCGCCTTGGCCAGTCCACCAAGATCTGCAACACTGGACAAGGCCAACAAGAAGAAGTACAAACTACAGCCGCAACACGCACTTCAACCGTCTTTTGAATGCACCCGAGAGACTGCAGATTTCCAACAAAGCACGTTTCCTTCAGCGCCACACCCGCGTTGCCAGCTTTCACCATGCCGACCTTCGATGCTGAAGCATTCGCTTTCCTCTTCTCCATCAAGGAGCCCGTGCTCAAAGATGGGGCAACGCGTACAAGACTTCTCGACATGATGAACAATCTTACGGCTCCCCATCCTGCCGAGATCATGCAATGGCTTCAAATGGCAGAGTTTCGCGCCTTTGCCTTTGACAACCTGCTAGTTGATTGTGTCGAGACCTGGGCTGGCTACAGAACCCATGTCCAACCTTTGTGGATTTTTCTCCTCCTGGGAAAGTTCATCGCGACGATGCTTGGTCAAGACAAGTTTGAATGCACAATCGGCGGAACACGCTATCAGTGCCCTAGACCTGAAGAGAAGATGGACCTGGAGCATCGGTATGACGAATGGGCATATGAGTCGGAGGAGATGTCGATTGACATGCCTTATGAGTATAGAGATTCGTTAATCTAGGCGATGCTGCACTGTTGCTCTATTTGTAGTTGATAGACCTGACAGCTGATGCTTGCATCCCGCGCCTGACTTGGGCGATATCGCTCCTAGTTTCACACCAGTCTCTTAAGTTTCTAGGATAGCTGGACTATAAAACTTGCGAAAAACAATGATAACATCCTCGCATTTGGTATGGCCTTTCTCAAACACCATGACAAGACTTTGATCATGCTCACGGTTAAAGATTGTCTTACCGCCACCTCCAGTCAGACATCTCCTTTCCCAGTAGCCGGTACATATTTTTCAACTCGATGAAACTCTCATTGTGAGGAGGCTTCTCGACGTTATCTTCCCAAAATGGTGAAATGCAGCGACGAGGCAGATTAGTAGTCCATCTGCCCGCAGTCCAGATCTAGACCCCAATCCTTCGGCAGCCGAGGGCCAACACAGCCCATAGCGACACGTACTCTTAGATTCAACAGGTCATGAGCCTCATCATTCGATCACTGACACAAGTTCGTCCCTGAGCCAAAGTCAGCCTCTTTCGGCAAGTCCAGCGCCATCCCTGCACCGCCTCCAACCAACCAGGTTGCCCGCCTTCGATGGCATCAGCTTAGTTCAACGCCACAGCCGCCAGGGCACTTCCGATCGATGCAACACTAATTCCCATTTCGTACTGTATGCAGCGCTATAGCACAGCCACAGACCTACTGATCTACCGTTCACAGTACACAATTGGCTGTTTGGCCTTCAGCTCCCAGGCACTGACATCGCATAGAAAAGCCGTTTTAGCTGATGATCTGCTTACATGAGATCCTCCCGACCCAGCGCCCCGGTTCTAAGGACGTCTAGGCAAGAATGTGTAAGAGATATCGACGCAGGGGTACCGCGCGATTCTTCCCGCTAAGGAAAATATTCTCGAAGATCGTTCTTTTGATGGGAAGAGGTATCAGCCTTATAAGATCTCGGCCGTCCAATCGCCATTCACATATCGATTGTAATAGGAAGAGCGGTCCATTTGCACTGAAAAGGGTTGAGTCTGTCGGAGGCAGCAATATTTCAATGTAGGATAATGGAAGAGTTTGCTTTGGTTGATTGGGGGTCAAGGGGAAGGAGACTCTTCATATGCCAAACCGCCGTTTAACATGGAACGATTTGATATATAAACTTATTTCTTCAGTCTCGCAAGTATTGCAGTAACCTAAATAGACCCAGCTTCGTGGCATCAATCTTCTTTCACGGGAACCTAAAGCGGAAAGCCCAGACTCGACACGCCTCTCACTTTAGGCCGATTTCGTAACCTTCATTATGATATTTCCTGCATTTGTTGCAAACCTGGAGGACATATACGGCAGTAGCTCTTCAAGCTCTGGAGAACCCTACCAGATCTCAGACCAAGTCGTTGACATAGGGTTCCCTCAAATCATGCAACTGACCTGGACACCATCACCCTCCACAATGGCTCTCTTCATCTCTGAACCCGGTTCTCATACTCTCTATGCAGTCTGTATGCCTCGCGGTTGGCAAGGCCCGACATATCTCTTCCCAGGGTCCAGCGTTGCTGGACATCCGATATCGTCTGGAATCAGATCCAGCGATAGATTCACCTTTCAACTCCCCGGAATACCTAGTTACAACACACCCTCCAGCCAAGTCACCATGACTTACCATCGTTCGCGGTCAAATCCTCGATACAGTTTCTCGATGAGTGTTGAACACGGTGCAAGTCGCAGAACAGAGTCGTTCGAGTGGCGTATCTCATCAGAAGCTGAGAGAAGCGCTTACAGCATGGTATGGCAGCTCGTATCGCTAGGGCGCACAAGCAAGTCGAGCTCAACCCGCTCCCGTAGTTCTGAAATTGTTGCAATGATACACGAAGACAATACTGCATCAGGATCAGTGTCTGTGCAAAGGTCGGGAGGCTTCCAATTTCTGGGCAGGGCAGCCACGGGTTCAATGGGATATCACTGGACTGTCACAGCTTTGATGAGTAGTGTAGCAATTCTTCAGGATACCAGCCGGGAGTAGCACCAATACGCTAGTGAAGTTGTGGCATGGTTATTACCGGCTGGTATTTCAGGCTGGGCATCGCAGAAAACGGGCAGACTTAGCAGGCTAAATCAACCCCCTCTCTACTCTTCATGTTGGATAGTATATCATGACAAGTTTATAAAAGATTAATCTAGTTTTATGTCAATCCATTGAAGCATTCTCATGCCTTGGGGTCGGGTCTTATGTGTTTTCTTCCCTTCTTCGGATTGCCAAAAAGGATGTACATTAGACCATCCTCCACGAGTACTCCAGCTCATACACACGCGCAGTGCAATAGTTTCCGTATTTCTAGCTACAGATATTCATGATATTTGTGCAACCTCTTCTTTCCCTTGCGAACATTAAGGATGTTATTGCACAATACTCCAGTCGCATGGCTGACACGGCACCTGAAAAGGCAAGAGACATATTGGAATATTTATCGTGGATGAAGGTGCTTCTGAGCTAGGTGTGTTATTTTCAGTTGCTACTTATGGCTAAGAGCTTAAATCAGCACAGAGAGCTTAGCATTCTGGCATGCCTTGGTGTTGCAAAGCATTGCTGATATGATAGCCACTGGGTCATCGGGGTATAGTATCTCAACTGGGATCCAGTTATGTTAGCTGTATTTGAGCCTTGGGATGGAAAACTCACAGTGACCACAAAGTACTTGATCACATCATTCACTCACAGTTATGTCAACCTTCACAGACACAGGACTGCACAGTCCATCATCGGCCATTCTTAATAGCCAATTACATGTGAATGGCTGAGAGATTAGATTCTTCCAGCAATCATTATCGTCTTATAAGGTTCAGTCGACGTCACTGCGTGATTCCGAGTCACAGGCCAGGCGTTATTAAAACCCTTTCAGGTTCTCGTCTTGAGATAAAATGCGCCAGTGTCCAGCATGCTTCTGCAAATACACAATGTCATTCGTTTCTGTACGTCTCGCCCAACTTGAACACAATGCCCAAAAGAAGTTCTTTGCATCACCACTAAATATTAGTCATTTTGACCTCGATATATGCAACAATTGGGCTTATCGACAGTGGTGCAAATGTGGAAAGCAGTCATAAACAGTAGTACCCAAGCTTCATGAGTGTGCGGCTTTGGCAGAATCAAGGATTAGCAGAAGAAGACACTAAGATGACTACAGAATGGTTGGAGATCCAAATCACCAACAACTTATGCCCTGGGCGTTTTGTCTACTTCTGTGTGAGCAACTGGAAAGCAGGTGACGAAACGCTGATTCCTCTTCAACTTGATCTTGAGTGCTGTAAATTCTCAGCCAAAATAAGGCTGGAAGTCATGCATGAGAATTACGCTAAATGCTTCACCAGCCAGTGACGTGACTAATGACTGGTATGGCTATAAAATGGCTGTGTAGAAACGTGGACCCCCCTACCGCAACATTTACCCCCTTTAACAACCACTAGAACTCCTACACTTTAAATTTAATATGTGCGTAGAGAAGATCTTTCAGTACTGGTGTAAGTGTGGGGAGAAGGCTGGGCGAGAATATGTCGATTACCCGTGCACCTTGGCGAATTGTAAGGGCTGGACCAATGAAGAACGACATATTGGAAACTCGAATAGAGAATGCAAGGAATGCGAAAGAAAGAGGCGGAAGAAGGAGGCGGAGGAAGTTCAGAAGAGGCAGAAGAGAAGAGGCCAGTAAAGACTGTTAGGTAGACTATAGCTTGAATCACTGAACTCCCGTGCCACTTCTATTCGTAGGGTTACAAACAGACAAGATCCCACTCATGGAATGAAGGCTGGAAAGGTACGCCCAAATTCATACCACAAGAGTTAACACTTTGTGCTAGAATCACTTTAAATGGCTTATTCTTGACATAAATATATGGCCAGAATATCTATAAAACGGCTCGGCTCGGACATCTACCCTTCTACCGTAACATTATCTCTTGTGCTAACTACTTCAAAGCTCTACTTATTCTGAACTCAACATGTGCGTACACAAAACTTTCTACTACTGGTGTAAGTGCGGGCAGGAGGTAGAAAGAGACTATCGTGATTGCCGGTGTGATCTAGCTGGTACATCAAAATGCAAGGGCTGGAAAAACGAAACGGTGAACTTCTGGTATTGTTCTAAAGAGTGTAAGGAATGTAAACGGAAGAGGCTAGAGAAAGAGAAAGAGAAAGAGAAAGGGGGAGCTAAGAAGAGGTAGCAGAAGGCCGCCAATAGTCCTTTTTCTGAATGCTGAGGAGATACTACTCATCGATTCATATATCAATAGTCACTTCTGAGATCACCCTGTGACAGTCAATTCTCCGTAATAGAATCATGTTGATGACCTTGTTATGAGCGTGAACCTGTGACCAACACATCTATAAAGCGGCTCGGCTCCAACGCCAACTCCGCCACCAAGAAGCAACAGGTTTCCCATACAAACGTACAGATACCCTGAAATCCGTAACTGAAACCTCTGACATTTCCCTCCTGTCACAATGTGCACAAAAAGACGTGTGGTCCATCTTTGCAAATGCGGTCTTCAAGCTTCGTTTGAGCCCGTTGTGGAAAAGCCTTGTGCTCTACGAGATGTGCTTAAATGCAGGCCGACAATTGAACAAATAGAGAAACCCAGCTCTGGGGAGTGCGCAACATGTAAGCAAAAGCGGGAGAAGGAGAAGAAGAAATAAGGAAGCTTCCTGAGAGCCTCTGGCCTATTTCTTATTCATATATAGAGGAACGACAGCTACATACTTGAGAAAGAACAAAGTCAATGTAGCGAGCATACAAACACCCTCACACTATCTCATACTCCGATATGTCATAAGGTGCACATCGTCCATCATTAGAAATGCGATCTCGTAGCTTCATACGAATGAATCGCTGAAATACGTTTAGCCATGACTACCAAACACCTTGTAAAGCTTCTGAGACAAGCTTACGCATCTCGCCTCTGATTTTCCCCGTCTTAATCGGTCTTACGGTACCACAGCCCCCTGCCTAGGAGGATTACGAA